GTTCACATTTGTTCTTTGTTCCTTTTTGTTCACATTTGTTCTTTTTGTTCCTGTTTGTTCCTTTTTGTTCACATTTGTTCTTTTTGTTCTCGTTTGTTCCTGTTTGTTCACATTTGTTCTTTTTGTTCCTTTTTGTTCACATTTGTTCTTTTTGTTCCTGTTTGTTCACATTTGTTCTTTTTGTTCTCGTTTGTTCCTGTTTGTTCACATTTGTTCTTTTTGTTCTTGTTTGTTCAGAGTTGATTGATTTTAAAACTCGTCGAGTTGCTGCGTTCAGGAAAAACCTGGTGGAACTGGCAGAACTGGAGCTGAAACACGCCAAGGTACAAACTCCTCCTCCTCATCTTCATCCTCCTCATCTTCATCCTCCTCATCTTCATCCTCCTCCTCCTCATCCTCCTCCTCATCTTCATCCTCCTCATCTTCATCCTCCTCATCCTCATCTCCTCATCCTCCTCATCTCCTCATCTCATCCTCCTCATCTTCATCCTCCTCATCCTCTCCTCATCTTCATCTCCTCATCCTCCTCATCCTCTTCTCATCCTCATCCTCCTCATCTTCATCTCCTCATCTCCTCATCATCTTCATCTCCTCCTTCATCTCCTCATCCTCCTCATCTTCATCCTCCTCCTCATCTTCATCCTCCTCATCTTCATCTCATCTTCATCCTCCTCATCCATCCTCATCCTCCTCCTCATCCTCCTCATCCTCCATCCTCCTCATCTTCATCCTCCTCATCTTTCATCCTCCTCATCCTTCCTCATCCTCCTCCTCATCTTCATCCTCCTCATCCTCCTCCTCATCTTCATCCTCCTCATCTTCATCCTCCTCATCCTCCTCCTCATCTTCATCCTCCTCCTCCTCCTCCTCATCTTCATCCTCCTCATCCTCCTCCTCATCTTCCTCCTCCTCCTCCTCCTCCTCATCTTCATCCTCCTCATCCTCCTCCTCATCTTCATCCTCCTCATCTTCTCCTCCTCATCCTCCTCCTCATCCTCCTCCTCATCCTCCTCCTCTTCATCCTCCTCCTCTTCATCCTCCTTCATCCTCCTCATCCTCATCCTCCTCCTCCTCCTCATCTTCATCCTCCTCATCCTCCTCCTCATCTTCATCCTCCTCCTCATCTTCATCCTCCTCCTCATCTTCATCCTCATCCTCATCTTCATCCTCCTCATCCTCCTCCTCCTCTTCATCCTCCTCCTCTTCATCCTCTTCATCCTCCTCCTCCTCATCTTCATCCTCCTCCTCATCTTCATCCTCATCCTCATCTTCATCCTCATCCTCATCTTCATCCTCCTCATCCTCCTCTCCTCCTCTTCATCCTCCTCCTCCTCTTCATCCTCCTTCATCCATCCCTTCATCCTCCTCCTCATCCTCATCTCTCATCTTCATCCTCCTCCTCATCTTCATCCTCCTCCTCATCTCATCCTCATCTTCATCCTCCTCATCCTCCTCCTCCTCCTCCTCTTCATCCTCTTCATCCTCCTCCTCCTCATCTTCATCCTCCTCCTCATCTTCATCCTCCTCCTCATCTTCATCCTCATCCTCATCTTCATCCTCCTCCTCCTCATCTTCATCCTCCTCATCTTCATCCTCCTCCTCATCTTCATCCTCCTCCTCATCCTCCTCCTCATCTTCATCCTCCTCATCTTCATCCTCCTCCTCATCTTCATCCTCCTCCTCCTCATCTTCATCTTCATCCTCCTCATCTTCATCTTCATCCTCCTCATCTTCCTCATCTTCATCCTCTCCTCATCTTCATCCTCCTCCTCATCTTCATCCTCCTCCTCATCTTCATCCTCCTCTTCCTCCTCCTCCTCTTCATCCTCCTCCTCCTCATCCTCCTCCTCCTCATCTTCCTCATCTTCATCCTCCTCCTCCTCCTCATCTTCATCCTCCTCCTCCTCCTCATCTTCCTCCTCCTCCATCCTCCTCATCCTCCTCCTCCTCCTCATCTTCATCCTCCTCTTCCTCCTCCTCCTCCTCTTCCTCCTCCTCCTCATCTTCATCCTCCTCCTCCTCATCTTCATCCTCCTCTTCCTCCTCCTCCTCATCTTCATCCTCCTCATCTTCATCCTCCTCTTCCTCCTCCTCCTCATCTTCATCCTCCTCATCTTCCTCATCTTCATCCTCCTCCTCTCCTCCTCCTCCTCCTCATCTTCATCCTCCTCATCTTCATCCTCCTCCTCCTCCTCATCTTCATCCTCCTCATCTTCATCCTCCTCATCTTCATCTTCTCCTCATCTTCATCCTCTCCTCCTCCTCATCTTCATCCTCCTCCTCATCTCCTCCTCATCCTCCTCCTCATCTTCATCCTCCTCATCTCCCTCCTCCTCCTCTCATCCTCCTCCTCTCCTCCTCATCTTCATCCTCCTCCTCCTCCTCCTCATCTCCTCCTCCTCCTCATCTTCATCCTCCTCTTCCTCCTCCTCCTCATCTTCATCCTCCTCTTCCTCCTCCTCCTCATCTTCATCCTCCTCATCTTCCTCATCTTCATCCTCCTCCTCCTCCTCATCTCTCATCCTCCTCATCCTCCTCATCCTCCTCATCTTCATCCTCCTCTTCTCCTCCTCATCTTCATCCTCCTCCTCTTCATCCTCCTCATCTTCCTCATCTTCATCCTCCTCCTCATCTTCCTCCTCCTCCTCATCTTCATCCTCCTCCTCCTCATCTCCATCTTCATCATCACACTCCTCTTCGTCCTGTTCTCTTCTGTAGTAGTTTTCAGAAGTGAGTGTGTGTGTGTGTGTGTGTGTTTCTGACCTTGTGTGTGTGTGTGTGTTCTGACCTTGTGTGTGTGTGTGTGTGTGTGTGTGTGTCTGACCTTGTGTGTGTGTGTGTGTTTCTGACCTTGTGTGTGTGTGTGTGTGTGTTTCTGACCTTGTGTGTGTGTGTGTGTGTGTGTGTGTTTCTGACCTGTGTGTGTGTCTGACCTTGTGTGTGTGTGTGTGTGTGTTTCTGACCTTGTGTGTGTGTGTGTGTGTGTGTGTGTGTTTCTGACCTTGTGTGTGTGTGTGTGTGTGTGTGTGTGTGTTTCTGACCTTGTGTGTGTGTGTGTGTGTTTCTGACCTTGTGTGTGTGTGTGTGTGTTTCTGACCTTGTGTGTGTGTGTGTGTTGTTTCTGACCTTGTGTGTGTGTGTGTGTGTGTGTGTTTCTGACCTTGTGTGTGTGTGTGTGTGTTTCTGACCTTGTGTGTGTGTGTGTGTTGTGTGTGTGTGTGTGTGTGTGTGTGTGTGTGTGTTTCTGACCTTGTGTGTGTGTGTGTTTCTGTTGTGTGTGTGTGTGTGTGTGTGTTTCTGACCTTGTGTGTGTGTGTGTGTGTGTGTTTCTGACCTTGTGTGTGTGTGTGTGTGTGTGTGTGTTCTGACCTTGTGTGTGTGTGTGTGTGTGTGTGTGTGTGTGTGTTTGGACCTTGTGTGTGTGTGTGTGTGTGTGTGTGTGTGTTTCTGACCTTGTGTGTGTGTGTGTGTGTTTCTGACCTTGTGTGTGTGTGTGTGTGTGTTTCTGACCTTGTGTGTGTGTGTGTTTCTGACCTTGTGTGTGTGTGTGTGTGTGTGTTCTGACCTTGTGTGTGTGTGTGTGTGTTTCTGACCTTGTGTGTGTGTGTGTGTGTGTTCTGACCTTGTGTGTGTGTGTGTGTGTGTGTGTGTGTGTGTTTGCTGACCTTTGTGTGTGTGTGTGTGTGTGTGTCTGACCTTGTGTGTGTGTGTGTGTGTGTGTTCTGACCTGTGTGTGTGTGTGTGTGTGTGTGTGTGACCTTGTGTGTGTGTGTGTGTGGTGTGTGTGTGTGTTTCTGACCTTGTGTGTGTGTGTGTGTGTGTGTGTGTTTCTGACCTTGTGTGTGTGTGTGTGTGTGTTTCTGACCTTGTGTGTGTGTGTGTGTGTGTGTGTGTGTTTCTGACCTTGTGTGTGTGTGTGTGTTGTGTGTTTCTGACCTTGTGTGTGTGTGTGTGTGTGTGTGTGTGTGTGTTGTCTGACCTTGTGTGTGTGTGTGTGTGTGTGTGTTTCTGACCTTGTGTGTGTGTGTGTGTTCTGACCTTGTGTGTGTGTGTGTGTGTACTGACCTGTGTGTGTGTGTGTGTGTGTGTGTGTTTCTGACCTTGTGTGTGTGTGTGTGTGTGTGTGTTGTGTGTGTGTGTGTGTGTGACCTGTGTGTTGTGTGTGTGTGTGTGTTTCTGACCTTGTGTGTGTGTGTGTGACCTTGTGTGTGTGTGTGTGTGTGTGTGTGTGTGTGTGTCCTTGTGTGTGTGTGTGTGTGTGTGTGTTTCTGACCTTGTGTGTGTGTGTGTGTGTGTGTGTTTTCTGACCTTGTGTGTGTGTGTGTGTGTGTTCTGACCTTGTGTGTGTGTGTGTGTGTGTGTTCTGACCTTGTGTGTGTGTGTGTGTGTGTGTGTTTCTGACCTTGTGTGTGTGTGTGTTTCTGACCTTGCGTGTGTGTGTGTGTGTGTGTGTGTTGTCTGACCTTGTGTGTGTGTGTGTTTCTGACCTTGTGTGTGTGTGTGTGTGTGTGTGTTTGACCTTGTGTGTGTGTGTGTGTGTGTGTTGTTTGTGACCTTGTGTGTGTGTGTGTTTCTGACCTTGCGTGTGTGTGTGTGTGTTTCTGACCTTGTGTGTGTGTGTGTGTGTGTGTTTGTGTGTTTTTCAGGGGAACCTTCAGCTGCTCCAGAGCTGTTTGGGAGTTTTAAAAGGAAACACTTAAAACCAACGTCACTGAACTCTACAAGACACAAGTCCAACCAGAACCAGGACCAGGACCAGAACCAGGACCAGGACCAGGACCGGGACCAGACCACAGAACCCCAGACCCCAAATCAGAACCAGACTAGAACCAGGACCAGACCCCAGACCTGCTTTAACCCCTGATTACACTAAACACCAGACCTGGACTTGGACCTGGACTTGGACCTGGACTTGGACCTGGACTTGGACCTGAACTTGGACCTGAACTTGGACCTGAACTTGGACCTGAGTTTGACTTCAGAGCCGCGTCAGACCCACC